TCTCTCTCTCTCTCTCTCTCTCTGACACTAAGGAGTCATAAGTTATCATTTACATTCATTATTCTTTCTGATGAAAATAATAACCTATGACTCCCCAATGATCAAAATTTGGTCAGTGGAAGTTTCTTCAAGTGTCCTATTATCATGTTCCCACTAATATGTTAGCACCTCTTTATTTTCTAGCAAAAGATATCCCAGGATCATTTATATCTTGCCTCTGACCTCTTTCTCCAAGGTCTTGGATACTTTCTGAGGGAAATGATATTTAGAAACTGAAGCCTGGACACTCGGGTGTGCTTATTTCTGGGGTCCTTTCAGTGAATAAACAGAAACTATATTTTATAAAAGGTTTGATTTGAAGATGAGCTGAGAATACCTATGTAGGTTCAGTGCATAGTAGACAATAACTTGTGATATAGTAGGTGTCAGTATCATTTTCCAGATGAAAAATAAAGGCTCAGAGAAGGTAAATTTCTTTAGCTTACATAGTGCATAAGTAACCAAGCTGGATTTTGAACTTGTCTGTAATTCCAACACTGTCTATAAAGGAGAATTCTATCATGTTTATGTCCATCCAGAGTCCTTATATGCTTTGGAATTTTCTGTATTATGTTTCTCATTTCCCCAAGTTAGGAGACAGGTTTTACTTTTTCAGTCTCCCTTTCAGCCAGGGTGAAGTTACTGCCAATTAGATGCATGCACTAAGACTTTAATTTGATGAACAGTGTGAATCTTCAGGAACTAACCAGAATCCATTTTGATAAAGTGGTCAAGGAGGCATCTTCAAGGGAAGAGCTTCTGTCATCCAGTGTCCAGTATCCAGGGTATAAACAATGTGATTTCCCAGTGGCAGAAAGAGTGGGATCTTTGCTAGAGTAATCCTTTAACATAGCTTGACCATCATTCCTAATTGTATTCTTTAAGCCTGAGTGTTGCCCTCCTGGAGTTTCAGTGAGTTTTAATAAATTCCATTTCTGCTTAAACTAGCTACAGTGAGTTCTGCTGTTTATAGCTGAAAACCTTGCCTGATACACTATGCCACTTTCCCAAACCATGTACCATGGCTGGTGAAGATTGTCAACAGGTGTGTCATGAGTCTGTATTGTTTCCGAACCAGTTTACATCTCATGATCCAACTGCCCATACCGTAGGTGGGTTGTTGTCCTCATTCTGAGCCCTAGAACCTTACCGTCATACTCAAACTTAGATCTGACCCTTGACCTTCCTTTAATAAAACCAAGGACAGTGAGAGAAGAAGGTCAAAGATACAAGGAAGGAAGGATGCCAGACACCATCAGGAAGTCATCATTGCCCACAGCAAAGACAGAGACAGTCTAAAACGACATTGAGCCCAAATGAAAATGTTTCCATTTGAGCATTGCTGACCACTTATTGCTACAAACACCATTTCTTAATATTCCCAACTATTCTGTGAGGTGGGTTTTAAATAACCATTTTATGGGTAAAAAAATATAGAGTTCAGAGAGAATAAGTGACATACTGAAGGATAAATTAGTCATTTATTTTAAATGTAGAGGTTGCATGATGTGATTTGTTGTTGTGAAAATACCTTGGCAGCAATGAAGATAATGGAGATCATCCAGTTAGAAGGCTGTTGCAAAGCTCCAGGGGAAGAAGATACCAACTCTATTAAGCTCCCAGCCTGTAATTCTTGTCTTCTGGATTCAAATGCACCTTTTATAGAACCTAGGGTTTCTGCTACACTGGTCCTCCAATTTCAGACCATTAGTTACCATTGGTATCAGGCATATCCCTATCAGACTGTGCTGTAATGGTATCCAACTAATGTTTCAGTGGGTGAATTCACAACCTCTTGTGTTGGCGATAGGATCACATGCTTATCTCAGCCAATGGTTGTATAGCAGGGCCAATTTTCGTTCATTCAAGAAATACCTATTAATGCCTACAATGTACCACATGTAGGAAAAGGGTGATAAAAAAACAAGAACAGTCCCTGCCCTCGGAGACAGACAGACAGACACAGACACACACACAGATACACACACACATACACACACACACAGAAATTATAATGTACTGCAATTTTTCCCTGATAATAAAAATCACGTTAGACATAAATTCCTAAGTCCCATTATAAACTCACTGAATCTGAATCTCTAGAGGAGATTTTTAAGAGCCTGAGTGCTTAATAAATGCCCCAGTGAGTCTCATCACCATGGAAGTTTATGTGCATTAGGTGAAGTGCAAGGTGCTGTGGGAGCTCCTGGAAGGGGAATTCGACACAGCTCACTCTTTCTTTCCTTCCTTCCTTCCTTCCTTCCTTCCTTCCTTCCTTCCTTCCTTTCTTTTTATTGAAGTATAATTAACATAGAATGTTGTAATGGTTTCAGGTGTGCAACATATTGTTTCAAATAATTCTGTACATTACTCATTGCTCACCATGATAAGTGTAGTCACTCTCTGTCACCATTCAACATTATTACAATATTATTGACTATATGCCTCATGCTGTACTTTTTTTTTTTAAAGAGGAGAGAGTGAGAGAGAGGCAGGGGATGGGCAGAGAGAAAATCATGGGGCTTGATCTCACAACCCAGAGATCATCATGACCTGAGCTGAAATCAAGAGTTAGTTGCCTAACTGACTGAGCCACCCAGGTGCCCTCCATGTTTACTTTTCATCATTGTGACTTATTTATCTTATAATGGAAATTTGTACCTCTTAATACCCTTTATCTATTTCTCATCTCCTCACCCACCACTATTTTGTTCTCTGTATTTAAGAGTCTGTCTTTGGTTTGTTTGTTTGTTCATTTGTTTTGTTCTTTAAATTCTACATATAAGTGAAATTATATGGTATTTGTCTTTTTCTGACTTATTTCACTTAGCCTAATACACTTTAGTCCATCCATGTTGTCTCAAATGGTAAGATCTCATTCTTTTTTATGGTTAAACAATATTCCCTTGTTTATATATACATCTTCTTTAGCCATTTATTGATTGATGGATACTTGGGTTGCTTTCATATCTTGGCTATTGTAAATAATGTTGCTATATACATAGAGGTGCATTTATCCCTTTGAATTAGTGTTTTTGTATTCTTCGGGTAAATATCCAGTAATGGGATTACTGGATTGCATGGTAGTTCTATTTTTAATTTTTTGAAGAAACTTTATACTGTTTTCCACAGTGGCTGCACCAATTTATATTCCCACCAATAGTGCATGAGAGTTCCTTTTTCTCCACATCCTCACCGACAGTTATTTCTTGCATTTGACAGTTCTAGATCACAGTGGGTTTTTTGGAGAAAGTGACAGCTAATCTGAGACCTGGAGGTGAATAAGTATTTGTGATTCAGGTGAAGAGGTAGGGGAGAGGGTGAAAAGGTTTTTTGAGCCTGTTTCTCTCTTCCAGTCATAGCCCAGAGGTCAGAGATTCAACCTGGACAGACTGGGGCTCCCTTCATGGCAAACAAGTGGACACTAAGGTACAATGGAAAGGGGCAGTGTTCTTATTATCCCAAGTACAATTTGGTTAAAACTAATAAGTTTCTGGAGCACCTGGGTGGCTCAGTCAGTTAAGCATTTGCCTTTGGCTCTTGTCATGATCTCAGGGTCCTAAGATTGAGCCCTGCGTTGGGCTCCTAGCTCAGCGGGGAATCTATTTCTCCCTCTCTCTCTGCCCCTCCCCACCACTAGTGCTCTCTTTCTCTCTCTCTCAAATAAATAAACAAAATCTTTAAAAAATTTTTTTAAAAAACTACAAA